GTGCTGGGCCAAATCACCCTTTTTCCATGTCCCGTGCTCATTCTGGACCCAGTCATAGTGGGACTTGTACTTTTATTGTTTCAAATACTAAATCCTGAATGAAGCAACTGAGATATTTTTATTTAAAAAATGCTTTAAGAAGCTACTGGAGATCACGGCTTTGGGGGGTGGGGGTGGGGGGGGGGGGTTATTTTTCAGATTCCATCAAGCAAAAGGTCATACCTACTGGGAAATTCTGGGAGTTGCAGTTCAAAGAAAAAGCAGAACTTTCTAAGGCCTTTTCTACAGTGCCATATAAAATCCAGATTATCTGCTTTGAACTGGAATATATGGTCACGTAGGTTCATATAATCCATTTCAAAGCAGATAATGTTGATTATCTGCTTTGATAATTATTATTATTATTATTAACTTTATTTGTACCCCACTAGCATCTCCCGAAGGACTCGATGCGGCTTACAAAGGCCAAGGCCTCAAAACACAACATAACAATACAACACCTAAAGCAAATTAAAAACAGTTAAAGCAATATTAAACAGCAAGTAATAAACAATACATCAAGACACTATAAAACTGGGCCGGGCCAGAGTAATGGGTACAAGGTTAAAAGTGCTGATGTGACAGGTGATATGTAAGGATTATAGGGTAAGTGCAGTGTGCGGTGTGCAGCAATCTTAGTTCTAATAAAGTGCTTCTGGGACTTGTTATTGGAGATTCTTATTCTGGAAAGGCACATCGGAACAGCCAGGTCTTCAAGTTCTAGATTATATGGCAGTGTAGAAGGAGCCTCACATTTTGGAGCTTTAGCAGAGATCCACAGCACATGATTCCATCAAAACCTCAAAGAAGCACTTTTGAGATCTATTCGGATATTTCTATATAAAAAAGCTAATACCATCTAAAGATTAAACATAATCAGAATATTTAAAGATTCACCACAGAAATAAAAATAATACAAAAATATAACAGCATTGGACCCATATAACACTCTTTGTTATCAAAGTGATGAATAAATTGATGAAATGGCAGATGTTTCTTTTAAAATTCCCACCTATAGCTTTAATTTCCAAGAAAATCAAGAGTGTTTCCAGATGGATGGGTCTCCTGTTTCCTCCTACCATTATGGTGCAACTATTCCATCTTTTTGTCAATATTTCTTAAAAGTGGCAATAAATAAAGACAGAGATGGAAAGATAATAATAATAATAATCAGCAAACACTAAATGTCATGAGAAGTTGAACAAAGACAAAAATAACCAACTCCCCAAATCCCAAAAACCAAGCCACACCTACATCAAAAATAATAACACATTATTACTGAAATATTACTAGTAATATTATATGTAATATATATTATACCATTATAACAATATTATATATTATTGTATTGAACTGTATTATTATACCACAATATATATAATACACTATCAGTGCACTATACTATTAGTATTATATATTTTACCATAGCATAAGTTGTAGCATATACATACAATAGACAATATATTATATTACAACATTATTACATACAATATAGCAGCATTATTACATTACGATGCTATTATTTTTATAGATTATTATATTGTATATTTTGAGGGGCTCCCAAGTGATGTTGCAGGAGACATGACAGAGCTGTCCCTTCCTGGCTGCCCCCCCTCCTCTTTTTAAGACAGGTTTTCAGTGGGAAACATCAAGCAATCTCAGGGGTTGTCTATACAGATAAACAACATTCTATTCATCTCATTTCCACTGTTTTTGGAACATTCAATGCACATCTGGTTTCGCAGTGAAAGTGCTTCTTTTGGGTGTTAATATGGAATTTTAAAAACTTGCCTTTTAACTCTGCAGTTTTAGGAAAAACTGTACCAACCTCCCATTTCCTAGGGTATGAGATTCTGTGCTTGCTGAGGTATGTATAGTTTATTAAATGTTTACTATTTCATTGTCAAATAGCTAAAGGCATCCGACAGCATGAGATGCCCAACCATGAGATCAATAGTGAAGGGATAGCCTAATGTATCCCCTGACTATTGATTTCATGACTATGCTCAAATGGTCCTATGGAGAAAAAGTTAGAAATATTTATCCTTTTCTTTTTCTTTTCAATATATATGTGCATGTGGATGTGCTGGGAGACATTTAAAGCTCCCTCCTTTTTTCATGATCATGCCTTGGGACATGCAACGGGAAAGGAGATTGGATAATGGAAGCAGCCAATGAGAGCACAAGGTAGATGAAAGCAATAAAGGCTATTTGTCCATAGGGTTGTGCATGTTGGGGAGAAAAATAAAAGGCACAGTCCTTTCTGTATGCTCTGAAATTTAAGCATGGGAAATATGTGGCTATTGATACATCTGGAGTAGAGGTTAATTTGGAGAAGGTGTGGCACTGATGGGGTGAAGCAGGGATGAATGATTTTGCAGGCATAGACCAGGGGTGGGTCCCAGTCCCAAATGGGTCTCCCTTAGTTAAATATTGAGTCATGAAAAATGTGTAAAAAATAAAAGGTTTCTGAATGCCACTTATTTACACAAATGGAGATTGTGTACTCTATAAAAAGGAAAATCAGCCTGTTTAGCAAATGGGGAAAAGAGTAATAAGAGGATGAAGACAACACTCCCCACTTTGTTTATTAGAATGAAAAATGTATTCAGTTTGAATATTTACACAGTATTATCCAATTGTTAGCACAGAGAACCCTCCATGTGGAAATGCCTGTTAGTGTCTGCACTCCCTATAAAATCCCAAAATGGAGACAGGGCAATTTCATGAAGACTCAAAGATCACAATACTAATAATAGTTTTTTTTCTAGGATCTGATAAATTTGAAATTTACCATGTAGGATACACTGGTTATGAACCTGGGCCCACATGTGCTTCTCTTAAGGCTGTTTATCTTATTCCTAGGGCTCTTAGGCCCCCTCTACACTGTCATATAATCCATTTTCCGATCCCAGATTATCTGCTTTGACCTTTAAACTTGATTATATGGCAATGTAGACTCATATAATCCAGTTCAAAGCAGATGACCTGGGATCAGATATGGGATTATATATCGATAGACTGCAGCTTTTCTGATAAAAAGGTAAATTGTTTCTTCTAGGTCCAGTCGCTATTTCTCTTTAAACTAGTTTTTGAAACCAGGACATCTCTGCTTGTTTTTGCTTTATTCAATTGGGGCTTCTTTTTTGGGGGGGAAGTCCTTGCAGCCATCAGAGTGTCCCAAGGCCCATCACCATGCATTTCTAGCTGGCACCAAGGCACACAGGCTCATCTTAAACGCCTTCATATTTGTATTTTGCCTGGGCAACATTGGAATGCCACAAAAAAGACCACCAGGATTGGAAGAAAGGCACTAGGGACCTCATCACAGTGAGGTCCCAAACACAGGCAAGAGTGGGGGTTCACTGATCAGCATGGTGAATCCATGGGGCAGTGGGAGAAATCATCACCCCACATTGTCTGCATTGGTCCTTTCCCCTTCACACGGGGGAAAGTGTTACTGTCCAGCTTTCCCCCATGCTGGTCTCATTCTAAGTAATGAGAACACAGGAAGCCTCCTGTGTTCTCTGGGCTCCATCCTAGGATACTTCCAGGATGGGGCCCAGCCAGAAGTAGCTCTGCATCGTGTGAAGTGCTCCGTCCTGGCTTTGTCCTGGAAATGTCTCCATCAAGTGGAGAGTGCCATTATTCTAGGTTGCAATATTATCAGGTTAGCCAGGTTTTACCTGGATTTCCCAGAAGCAATCCTCATCCCCACTTAACCCTTGATAGCCTTGCCCTGTGACATCATAAGGACTTGCTCTTGCCTTCACATTGTGGTATGGGATGTTACTGATCTGCCAACCGTAGGTATAGACCTTTCCCATTAAATGCTATCACTTCTATGCTTTTACCATGTTAATGGATAGCTTTCAACAACATAATATAAGAGACGGGTGTTTCAGTAAAACCAACATCAGCAGTTCTCAATAGATCACCAGATTTCTTGCTGAATTATTCCTAAGAGATTCCTTCCTGGGGGGAAAGAACACCCAAGCTTTTCTAGTTCATTAGCTTGTTATGAAGAATTGTGGAGTTCTTTCTCCATTTCCTTTTTGTCTCTAAGCTCTGTCCCCTTTAAGCTTAGCTTCCTGTATCTGCAGGTAAGGAGGGGCACCACAGCACTGAAAGCTTGTTATGTATTCGCTGCATGCCTAGCTGCAGAACCAATTGTAGGAAGCTTCTCACCTTCTACCCCCCCCCCCCCAAATTAAATAGAGGTTTGTCACAAACTGTGAAAATGGATCCTTCATATTTGGATTGAAAAGGGTAAATCCAACATGGCCTTTTCCTTCATGCATGCCCCTTTGGAAATTATACTAAACACCCTGTAGCATGTGGAATGCCTCATGCCTGCACTAGTTATGGCTTGAGCCAGGTTCTCCTTTGCATGCATTTACCTGATGTGCTTCATCACCTCCTATAAGGACCCCAATAAATCTTTATTATCCAATTCCCTTTGCATGAAGCACCAAACATTTCTTTCTTTCCATCCACTAAGGCAAGAATGCATGAAATACTGAAATATAGTATAGGCAGGAGAGGGAGGAAAGTGCATGATAGATGTTAAACTGAGATGGCACTGTGAACATTATGTGATAAACATTTCCATAATTATGAAGATGTGGAAATTTATGTCGCAGAGAAAATAATAATTAACCTGCCTGAAGATTCTAGCCATTCCTCCTTTTGTCTAATGAAACATTGTGAAATTGTGCTCTATTAAGCCAAGGAAACATACGTCTAAAAATCAGGTTTATTTTGTTTTGTTCCATTTTGTGCACATAGGGATGGTTGTAAACGACACTTCCCATTTTGCATTCAGAAATATTGCCTTAAAAACCCTCAGAGCCCAAGGGGGATGGATTCTCTTAGCAATTCAAAGGAGGAGGAGGGAGGAGGGGGGAGGGGGGAGGAGGAGAGAAAGGACCATATGATAACCTTGTATGATTTTGCTTTGGTAAACCAGGGGTTAAGTATAGCAGTTGAAGGCTGCAAGCTTTGACAGGGTTGTACTATTTTTCTAATGCATAAGGAGAAGGGAGGCTAGGAATCAGGCAACAGAAGGAAAATCCAGTGAAAGGAGCCTTTGAAACCTAGCCTGAAAGGATGGTGTTGGTGTAGGGCATGGAGAAGGATAACAGGTCAGGTGCTTAGAAAAATCTCTGTATTAGGCACTCAGACTAAAAGATGGTATTTCACTTGCCTCCCCTCCTTTAGTTCTTGAATCCTGACTGTGAGTGGGTAAGGAAGGCGGCTGTCTGCTGCTGAGGATGGGATGCCAGGGAGTCTCTCTTGGGGAAGGAAAAAATCTTTGGTTGGGCTTAGCAACAAGAAGAGGGGAAAAACAAGACACCCAAGAAGAGAACTGAATAGCCTCCCGTGGCTATCAGGGGACCAAGCCTCCACTTAGACCAAGCCAGAGGCTGGACAGCTGGCAATGCAGCATTGTGTTGAGATGCTGGGGATCTCAGGGGAGATTTCTGGCTGAGCCCTTGAACCCACATGGGGGATGCTTCAGGTGCATAGGACCAAGGGTTTTCAGGATATGTCCTGCACACAGAATGGAGTCCAGTGCCTCTTTGATGTGGACCCAGCTGCAGCTGGGTGAGCTCTGTGTGGCAGGCAGCTTCTTTTTCTGAGAAGGAAGACCAGGGGAGAGGGAGACCACACTGCGGAGGAGCCTGCACCAGCCGGGCTGCGTGAACAACACAAAGGAGGAAGGGTGTGTAGATTACTGCTTCTCTACCTTGAAACAATATATAACACTGTGTGCGTGTGTTTTGTGCATGCATGTGTGTGTGCATGTGTGTGACAGAGAGAATGGAGAAGGTTGAGGCTCTGTTTTCATGCTGCCACAAATGCTCTGCTCATTTCACACAGTATAGCTAGAGTCTGCAATGGAGCTCAGGGAGGGAAAGACTGCATTTGAAAACTGGGTCTTTGCAGATGTTGTTGTAAAGCCTTTCCAGTTCTATCTTAAGGCTGCTTTTCCAGGCAACGTCACACCTCTTGAGGACATTGGGGACATCAGGTTTTTGCTGAGTATGGCATCTTCCTACTATCATACAGAAGCCTTTCAGGTCAGAGACTGCCCTGAAGAAGAGACTACAACAGCCATGAAGAATCTTCTGTCCATTCCCCACCCTGTTAGTAGATATAACCTCCTCATTCAAGATCTTTCTTTCTTTCTTTCTTTCTTTCTTTCTTTCTTTCTTTCTTTCTTTCTTTCTTTCTTTCTTTCTTCCTTCATGACTCACCATGTTGTCCAACAAACTTATGGGAATCTTGGAAACCAGTCTCTGTGTTTTCTCTAAGGTCAGATAATTGATGCGAGAAATACAGTGTTATCCTCTGTCAGGTAATGCGAGTTGTTTTTCACTTGCTATTATTCCTTAGGCAACTGTAGGAGAGGTGCTTCAGCGCAGAAATGCAGCAAGAGAAGAGAGCTATGGTGACAATACTTGCAAACTTAAAAACAGCTCAGAGTGGGAATGGCAATGGGGGGGGGGGGGGACGGGGACAGCCAGACTGGACGAATCATCCCAAAGATTGAATCAAGAAAGCATCACCTCAAGTGTGCAAGTTCTGTTTGATGCAACAGAGTGTTTGATGCTTAACTCTATAACCGAACCCTTGGGGTATTCCTAGAGGTGAATGCAGGAGTCCCAGGTGTTGCATGAGGAGATCTTAATGCCTTAATGCATAACAAAGTCTTTGAAGTTCTTTCTTTCACTTGGTTGTTGGGGAAAACATGTTGGGATGTGCTGATTGCAAGTGATTTCAACATTTCTTCTTGCATCTTTAAATATTTTGTAAATGGTGTGACGTAGGGAGACCAGAGAATTTTTTAAAAGGCCACACTAAGTAGGGGGAATTAAAATCAACCAAAGCAATGTCTGCTTGTGTGTCTGTACACATTGTTAAGAAAGTATGGGGAAATGCTCACATTATTTATTCCTTTTTTTCAGGTGGGCAGGCTTTTTTGATCTCCTTTCCACGCTTTCATGAGCCACTTCAGAGCCCATGTGCATACCCTCCCAGCAGATATTAGAATCCCTGTGAACCTCATCCCACCGCCAGACATTCAGGAACATTTAGATTAAAGGCCTAAATATGACCGTTGCTACTGGAGACCCCACAGATGAAGCAGCAGCTTTGCCTGGTCACCCTCAGGACACCTACAACCCAGAAACTGACCATGAATGTTGTGAGAGGGTGGTCATTAACATCTCTGGACTGCGATTTGAAACACAGCTGAAGACACTTGCTCAGTTTCCAGATACCTTGTTAGGAGACCCTAAAAAAAGAATGAGATATTTCGACCCTCTCCGGAATGAGTATTTCTTTGATCGTAACAGACCCAGTTTTGATGCTATTTTGTACTACTACCAATCAGGTGGCAGGTTAAGGAGGCCTGTCAATGTGCCCTTGGACATCTTCTCAGAAGAGATTAGGTTTTATGAACTTGGAGAAGAAGCTATGGAGATGTTCCGGGAGGATGAAGGTTACATCAAGGAAGAAGAACGGCCTTTACCAGAGAATGAGTTTCAAAGACAAGTGTGGCTTCTCTTTGAGTACCCAGAAAGCTCTGGACCTGCCAGGATTATAGCAATTGTCTCTGTCATGGTCATTTTAATTTCAATTGTAAGCTTCTGCCTGGAAACTTTGCCTGTGTTCCGGGATGAGAATGAAGACATGCATAGCAGCAGTAGCAGCTCAAGCCTTTACCCCAACAGCACAATGGGGTCTCATCAGCCAACCACATTCACAGATCCCTTCTTTATAGTTGAGACTCTTTGCATCATTTGGTTTTCCTTTGAATTCCTGGTGAGATTCTTTGCCTGCCCAAGCAAAGCTGGGTTTTTTACTAATATTATGAACATTATTGACATTGTGGCCATCATTCCCTATTTCATTACCCTCGGAACAGAACTGGCTGATAAACCAGAAGATGGCCAACAAGGCCAGCAAGCAATGTCTCTTGCCATCCTTCGAGTGATCCGTCTGGTGAGGGTGTTCAGGATCTTCAAACTTTCCAGACACTCCAAGGGATTGCAGATTCTGGGGCAAACCCTTAAGGCCAGCATGAGGGAGCTAGGCCTTTTGATATTCTTCCTTTTCATTGGTGTCATCCTGTTCTCCAGTGCTGTCTACTTTGCAGAGGCTGATGAGAGTGAATCTCAGTTCCCCAGCATCCCTGATGCTTTTTGGTGGGCCGTGGTTTCCATGACAACAGTTGGCTATGGAGACATGGTCCCCACAACCATAGGTGGAAAAATAGTTGGCTCTTTGTGTGCCATTGCAGGTGTATTAACAATTGCCTTACCAGTGCCGGTTATAGTGTCCAATTTCAACTACTTCTATCACCGTGAGACAGAGGGAGAGGAGCAAGCTCAGTACTTGCAAGTTACCAGCTGCCCAAAGATCCCTTCTTCCCCTGACCTAAAGAAAAGCAGAAGTGCCTCCACTATTAGTAAGTCTGATTACATGGAGATACAAGAAGGTGTGAATAATAGCAATGAGGACTTTAGAGAGGAGAACTTGAAAACAGCCAATTGCACCCTAGCTAACACAAACTATGTTAATATAACCAAAATGCTAACTGATGTCTAGGTGATGAGGGGGTAAAAGCAAGACAACCCTAATAACATATATTTTAAAAATGGAACAATTGCAAACGTTGCATAATACCTTGCATTGTAGCTAATACAATATGTTCTACAATATGTACTGGTTATGCATGGAAAGCAATAGTTGTGTAAGTGACTCTTTTTAACATTTGATGCTCAAAAAGCTTTCATGCAACTTTTTCTTTTCCAACACAGATTTTTGAGTATATGGAGCATTTAAGACAAAACCATGTCACATTATCAAATGAAAGGCACTGGAGAAAAACAAGAGCAACCATCTCCCCATGCAAACCACAATAATGAACAAGTGCAAACAAGATATGTATCATGTAATACAGAACTCAATCCATGCAAAAATATATCCCCAGGAAATAGTATGCAACTATACTTCTAGCTTTCAAGCTTCAGGAATTATACAAAAGGTCATGCATAGTTTAATTAATGGAACATCCGTCCAAATTACTTTAAGGTTCAGATTTCCAGATCAGAAATGCCAAAGGGAGAATATGCTGTGCAGGGTCATGCTTCTGAACCAAAAATGCTGCATTGGATTCATCCACTGCAGCATGTCAGTGTAAGGCTCGCGGGAGGCACTGTTTAGTAGGACATTTTTTGTTGCTTTGGTAGAGATACATCAAGAGCCTGGAGACATTTTTTTTATAATAACACATGCATTCTTTGCTGGTTTGGGGGTCACTGACATATTCAGAACTGAAAAGCATCTTGTTTCAAATGCTGGAGCAACTAAGCTGTGGCCTAGAATATATTTATACTGCAATGAAATTTAACCAGTATTACAGTACAGCTGCATGGATATTTGTTGCATGGAACTTAATATTTAATACAAATATATATCTATCTATTTTCTTAAGTAGACCATAGAGTGTACCTATTTGTAGTATTTCTAGATTCTCCAGTGGCTTGAAGGAGAGTAATGAACATATAAGAGGGAGGGAAAAACAATAGGCTTGGGAATGATGTATGCTGAACACAAATTTGATAAGTAAGGCAAGTGTTTGCTTGCATGAATGTACACATTGACGAGGATGAAATGAAAAGTGCCCACTTGTCTTCTGCATGTTGGGTATAACTGGTAATTAATTAATAGTTGGTATCATTATCTGAGATTTACAGCTGACCCGGTGAAAGTGAAATATTTGGGCATGTTTGTGATTAAAGGATCTTCGAATGATAATGTCAAGCAAATGTTATGCAAATATTTGATATACAAATATATAAGCTCACAGAGACCACAGAGGTTACTCATGCTACTTAAAAATGTAGACTAGTTGAAATTTGCAACTAAGATGAGAAGTTACAGAGTGTTGATGAGTTTATCTGAACCTGTATTGACCTGGACCTTATCTGGCTTCAAATATTTAATGTTGCTTCTGGAAGTGCATGGGATTATGCAATAATGCCAGCCCAAAGTAATTTATTCAGGTGTGGGCAATTTTGTCCTTTGAAAATAGGTCTTAATAGAGCTCTGTCAGCTGTCAACAGCAGCTGAAGAGTTGACTTTATGTGAATAAGTGCAATGCATGGCTTAGGAGTTTAGGTTTCTGTTGGTATCTTTGTCATGTGGTGAACCCAATGTTCTTAGACTAAAGAGAGTTCACATGTCCTTCTAGATGAGAGGTGAACACATTCCAGATTTTGGTGGACTGCAGTTCTGGTCATTCTCTCACTACCAGATATGCTAGCTAGAGCACTAGACAGAATTGTCCAACAAAGTCCAGAGGTCCATATGTTCCCTGCAGTTAACAGAGTGTTATATGGCAGCAGAATTTGTTTTTGAGCAAGTGGACTATAGCAATAGACAGATTTTACAAATTGTTGCCCTGGGGTTGGCAGACTTTCACTGCTGTAGCTTCAACTCTCCAGGGTCAGGAGAGGCCCATTTTGCTACCAATATCACAGGAAAGTTGCATTTGAAATAAACAAGAAAAACTCTGTGACCAAAATCCATTTTTCTCATCAGTTGCACTTTTGCAGCCTTTTAAGAAGGCTGGAAGTGTTGCCTTGAGAAAGAAAGGCAAAGAAGTCTGTTGCTGCCAGCTTATTTGCATATGGCTAAATTTGGATCCAGTTTATTGCCTATGTATTTTTTAAATTATATCGTACATAGTATAGACTCTAGAGTAGTAAGAAACTCTGCTGATAAGGGAGTACAATTCAAATTCACCATGACACACAATAAGCTGGATCCTGTAAGCATCCGTTTGGGCATCTTGCTTACTAGTGCTCATTTTGCCTCATGGTGGAAGAATCCAGTTAGGGTCAACAATTCACCAGACAAAAGTAAGAATGTGTGCTGAGATGTTTTCACAGAATGATAGGGATGGAAGAGACCACAAGGGCCATCCAGTCCAACCCCTTACCATGTAGGAAGACACCATCAAAGCACCCTTAACAGATGGCTTTACACTGAATTCAGAACTTGGGAAAGCATGGCTTCAGAGTGGGTTTGATCATAAAGCCAACTTATTAGCATCTAGCTTTGTCCTTTCCTTATTGTGCTACATTTGGCTCACTTTTAGCAGCTCTGCGGGACAAGGTGGGAGTGAGGAAGGATACAGATTGAGTTGCAAGGCAGATACATGCTGAAGTGATCACTATCCTACTTGACCATATGGTGAACTCTATACAAATCCATTCAGTTTAGCAAGCCATCCTGGATGTGTATGTTGGTTCCAAATGAAATAAGTGTTTCCATCAAGAGGGAAATGAATACCACAACAATCTCAGTGTAAGAAGATGTTAAGACATCTATGTGCCAAACTAGTACTTTGTCCAGGTCTTTTGTCCAGTCCTTTGCTGGAGCATAGAACATATACAGTTGGTCCTCCATTTGCAGATTTGATAATTCATGGATTTGATTAACATGTTTTTCTCTAGGAATCTCTTGGTTCTCCAGGGTGATTCTCTGACCAGTTTCTGCCAAAAGCTGTCCATAGAAACATGCTGGAAGACCTAAGAATTCTTAGAGAGAACACCTCTCTAGATATCTCTAGGTTGGCAGGATAATTTTATGGTCAGCTTCCAGAGAGGTTGAACATAAAGTCAACTGGATGACCTAGAGAGGTATTATCTCAGGTTTTAAAGATAGTGTTTTTTCCACTTTCATTGGCTTTTTATGCCCTAATTCCCATGAAAGCGGATTTACAATCCTAATGTTAAATTATTGTACTTAAACTCCTAAATTTCTTAGATTACGTGCTTGCTGCCCACTCATGCCAAGGAAAGAACTTATCTTCTTGCCTTTAACAGTAACTGCAATGTGTGCTATAAAGATTCAAAAAGCATCAAACAACACTGACATGTATAAAGAAAAAAACAAGCAAGCCCACTGTGATGGCCTTTCTAACCATATATGATTTGAAGGGGCTTTAGTACCCTTAAAACTCTATTAATAGTCCTGGAGCTTGCATCGCAGGATTTCGGTTCGCCAACCTCATAGTGCCTTGTACCCTTCTTGTAGAATGCTGACAAAGGAATAGCTTGACATTACATCTCTAATTACTTTCTCTTCAAGTATGCTAGAATTTAAAAGGCTAATTTTGGAATATCTTTCATTGCAGTGAGCAGGGATGGAATAATCCTTCCTATTGCCTTAAGCCATGGCTAAAAATATTCTGTCCTCTCCGCCCCTCCATCAATATAAAGGAAGAAATATACTTGCTTAAAGATTTAGGCAGGACAGACTGCCTGTCCTGTAGATTAGGGCAAATCAGTCTATGCAAAAATGCACTGGAGGAGGGCCGGGAGACCGGATGTTTCTTCAGGGACTTCCCCCGGATTCAGTCTTGATGTAATTATGGAGCAAAATCCACAGGGCCCCCAGGGAGCAAGGGGACCAGACATAAACCTACTGGCTTTCCATAGTGACTGGGGATAATTATTGTTAGGCCCAGGTTCATTACTGAATTGTGAGCATGAAACCAAACACTGTAGAGAGAGGTATAAAGTGCTCGTTTTTACCATTACATTTGGCTGTATCCTACCAACACCAAATACCCCATTTCATTGAATTTCACTTGCTTTTCTGCCACCACTACCTTTTCATGATTCCAGACCACACTTGTTTTCATGCCCACCTTTATCTTCCTCTTAAAATGGTAGAGTTTGAACTTTTAATCCTACCTTTTTACAGATGGATACTCATTTATGTATTTGGTCATATAATGAGGTAATATGACTTATTAGGAAGATTTATGGTGCTAGGTAAAGTAGGAAGCAGTAGGAGAAATTGGGAGTTTGCATTACATGTGGATGGACAGTTAAGGAATCCAGAGCTCTGAGATTGCTGGACCTGAGTAGTCTATTGATGTGAAAGGTCTTTCATGCCTAAGGTTGCCATAGGTCAAGGCTAACGTGGTGGTAATTTACAGTAAAACCAACTTGTCATCCATGTTTTCTTCAGTGAAGGAACACTTCACCCTTGGATTAGAGTTATCTTTCATAGACCATGATCTGATAGTTTTTAATTATCTCTCAAGGCAAGTTAGGAATATTCAGGGTGAATTGGTGCCAAAGTGCAACAGTGTGAGTTCAGTGTCAGCTTTATTTTCCACCAAATGAATGAACAGTATCTCGGAAAAAGAGCAGCTTGAAGAGAGGAAAGAGAAGTGAAACCTGGAAGTGGAGAACTAACTAACTAACTAACTAACTAACTAACTAAAAGGTTGGCAGGAGATGAATTGCAGCTTGAATTTATTTTATTTTTATCCTGCTTTTCTCCTGACATAGAACCCAACATAGCTATACAGCTTTGCATTTCATGATGGTTTAGATGTGTTCTTACAGCTGTTGATCTACTGCCTATTCCATCCCATTGATGGTGGCTGGCAGTCACTTGCAGTTGGTTAAACTGTATCTCACTTGATCTGGGTTCTGGCTAGTGACTTTGCAAAAGGACCATTACTGGTCAGAACTTTAGGAATATCTGCACCTTCTGGAGAGGTTAAAATGACAAGAAAGGGCTGTCTGTAGTCTCATGGATTGTAAGGCTGGGCTGCTCGATATCCCTATTTTCTCTACTATAGCCTATCAAATCAATTAAGAGGAAGCCCTAGCAGATGACCTAGATGAGATCTATCTACTTTGTAGGCCTTCACTATTCAGTCAGCCTAAACACATTTACAGGTTTCGGTTTTGCAGATGTTATTATTTGCAGATTAATATGTTCTCTCAAGGAATCCCATGGTCCTCCAGCATGATTCCATAGTCAACTTCTCCCAGAGATTCCTAGAGAGAACATTCCTCTAGGCATTTGTAGGTACTCCATTGTGATTGTATGGGCGATTTCTAGCAGAAGTTGTACATAGAATCATGCTGAGGACCTATGGACTGAGAGAGGTGTTCTCTCTATGAATCTCTTGTAGAAGAGTCCATAGAGTCTGTCATGTTATAAAGGGGTTTGTTTTATTTGAAGTCTTCTCACTTTCGTGAGGGTCCTGCATACTCAGTGAATGAGGAGGGCCCACTGTATTTGCACGCTTCAAAAAACAACAAATGGCCACCTTGGAACTAGAAAACATAAATATAAATTCAGGTTATGAATATCAAACATAGTTTAATTTTATATGCTGGGATTGCAATGCCTACAGTGCATCAGTGTAGGCATTGCATAATAAAAACAGCACAATCCTGTCATCATCACCACTGAGCTATGTTAGTTGTAATAACTCGTATGGTGTTTTAGGACTGAGCCATTGTGAACATCTTAGGGCAGAGGGAGAGAGGAAGCCAAGAATAAGCAGGAGATACTAAAAAAAGTTGCACCCTTCTCTCGTACCAAGGTCAAATGGGCACATTTAATTGTACATTAAATTTAATGTGCTATTGTTTTGCCTATCATATTGCAGCCCAGACACTGTGTAGGTAACCTGAACTGTTATCGCAGCAGCTGGAAGCCAGCAGCACAACTAACTGACGAATCTGGCCTCGCCCAAGAATAGGGCTAGAGCTCTCTTCTTAACCATGTATACCTTTGCAGAGCGTTGTGGTGCAGAGCTGAAGCTGCAGCCCACAGCAGGTGGGAAGGAGCAGATGGTAAGACAGGAGCATTATGATGAATGCTGAAATAAGGATGACAAGATCTGCAGGTTTAAGGCAGGGGCTTCCTCACACCTTCATCTTGTGAGATTTGCCTGTGTTGTGTTCAGATTGCAATCCACGAACATTTTAGTAGGTGTTGCTTGATGAGATTGTGGAGAAGCTATTCATGGGTCAAGGGCACACTTGTAGCAAATATCCCCGATGAGCATGAAAGGAGTACTCTATGAGCTTAGCCTTGGATAAACAAGCGCCTCAAAAACCTCTTGCGTCATCCTGCCTGGATGCTTCAGACAAATGTGGGGAAGCATCATTGGGGCTATTGGGGAGGATGCTGACTATCTTCCCAAGCAAGAGGAGCACTGTGCAACATAGAAGAGGACCTCAGTTCAGAAGATCTTCTCAGGCAGTTCAAAAATTAAGCAGGAATTATGCATGTGCAAACCAGATATACTACAATAACATCTCTCCCCCAAATTCTGCTAAAGCAAACAGGTTGATTATAATTTGGAGAAGTGGCTTTGTGTATATTACTCCATCTTTTGCAAAAACAGCTCAGGAAGCAATAAGTGGGTGAAATGATAGGAGAGTGATTTTAAAACGGGAAAGGAAAAGGAAGGCGGTAAAACAGTGTTGGCTGTTGAAAGGTATATAATTTAGTTGTTGCTATACTAACTTAGGGCTCTTTTGCACTATACTATGTTTCCACTTTAACTCCTACATCATTCTTGGATTGAAGGTTCAGGGCCATTTAGAATTCTCAGCCAGAGAGTTTTAGTGCTTCACCAAACTACAAATCCCAGGATTCCATAAGAGGTAGCCATGGCAATTAAAAATAGAATCATGGCATTATAGCTATGTAGTGTAAAAGGGCTGCTTATCTTGGATCTGTTACAAGAAAATATATTAGTTCTTATAACATCCGATTCCTGTAAAATGCCTCTCCTGTCCCCAGCCCTAAGAATTTGACGGTTCTTACTCAGGGCACGCAGTGTGTGCTCAGTGTCATTCTTCTTTCCTCTTGGTTTCCCACAATGTCTATAGCTGAGTTTCCCACAATGTCTATTTAGGAAACACTACTGGACAATGCTTGGCTAAATCCCGGGCCAAGCATAATATGAGTGTGCCTGAATCCTCTTTTATCTTGTCTTTGGTTATACATGCAACAGGATGAGAAAAGATCAAGGGAGACCTGCAACAAAATATTTTAGTTTGGAATGCTCCTGTTCATTGCTTCAGTTGGCCATTTCTGCCCTTATCCATTGTACTCCATTTCATTTCCTACCCATTCACTGAGCATTCTCTATCATTTATCCACAATCACATCACAAAACTGTTTTTCAGCTTTCTTCACTTTAGGTTTTTTCTTCTTCATTTTTTCCTCTCATCACTTTGGCACCTCTACATTGGGAGTCTCTTGAAACCTCTCTCTTCTGTGTCAGTGCTGTGGTTTTATGCATATGCACAGTGGTGCTTGGCTCACATTGAGAGCGAAAGTAGGAAGAACATTGAAGTGGTGGAATAATGGTTTGCACCATTTCAAATGGCAGCTAGAAGATCCCATTTTTGATATGACAATCACTTTGCACTAGAATAGACTGGGGCGGTGTGCTGCAGCTCTCTGATGTGGTGATTTGCTTTGGCTTTAAAAAAAATAAAAATAAAAAATGCACCCCCTTCACTTTATCAGGCCCATTCTGCTGTCTCATTGCAGCTCATGCATTGACCAGGGCTATGTTCCTAGCTTGTGACCCTAAAATCATGACTGCAATTGGCAAGCAAGCCTAAACCCTGTTCTTCATAGGCCAATATATCAGATAGACAAAATATTCAGTGCTTCTCTAACATAAGCAAAAATATTCAGGCTCCTCTGGCATTAGCAAGAATGATGAAGGTAGTTCACAATGGTGCATTACTCTTAAGCAGTAGAAAATATTCATGTTGTCTACTCATTTCTGTACAACCATGAAACTATAGTGTGGATTATAATGTGAAATCCTCGAAAAGGCCAGTAATGGCTGGCGGCCTCCATATCAGTGTGATGGCAAATCCATGGTGGGATTTCATCTGAGCTATCTGAAGTGCTGGACCTTATCTCCTATGGATAGGCCCTTTACAGTTCAGACAAAACTCACAGTGGATCCACCATCCTATTGATATGGGATCCACCTGCTATCATTGGAAAAAGCCTTAAAACTGAGTCTTATTTGATAGATAGTGATGTTTTGGATTAATAATTAGACTAGGAGATGGACAATGCGGGCATCAGGTGAAAAGACTTTTCACTGGATTCTCTTCTATATCACCCAAATAAGGATGAATGAGGGCTCTAGGTTGAGATTCTGGTTATACCCATTGACAGGGTGGTTTGTAAAAGTGGGATATACAACCAGTTAACTCCATGAATTTATCCTGTAGGACAACAACAAAATGTTCTTATTTTCAACATTCAGTTTGATTTGCGTTGATTTTAGATACAGGAAGGACTTATATTTTCCAAGTAGAACAGGAAATTAAACTGTAACACACCATTTCAAGGAAGGACTTTCAAGACTGTCTTTTCCTAGTAGTAAATATGCCATATTTTGTCCCCAATTGTTAGCTTAATGTTAAAATACTGTATTTTTCCAGCATTGGATTTACTATAGTGCATGCTTGCAAGAATACAGTTCTTCCACCAGATTTGTTGCTGCTGTGTATTTGAAACACAAATGTACAACTATTGTGAATAGCAGTGAATTATACAATAATCACCAAAAATGTGAACAAAGTATGCATTCTTAGGGGAGGAAGATGAAGACCTAGTCAACTTCCATGACATCATTGCAGCTGTTAGAATAATGTCTATAGATGTACATATTTCTGCAGCTATCTTTTGCATTGTTTCTATAAACTTCATAACACTGTGCTATACCCAGAATGGGTGTTAAGAGCATGCAGCATGAGGGTGTGTAAATATGAAGATATTGTGCATATAAACCCAGAGAAGAAAGGTGAAAGATAGAACTGGAAGAACTATTTGAAGGAGGGTCATGCTTTGTAAGCAGATTGTTCATGGCTCAGCTACTGAATTTACTGCTGAAATCTCCTTTCCCTGGAGCTTGCAATATAATAGTGGAGGGTCCAAATCTCACTACAGATCCAGTCATTTTTGCAAGGTCAAGCTATCTGTAATGTGATTCTCCCCCAAACCATTCTCCAACACAGAAGAAACGTACTGATCTCCCTCTTCTCCTTTTTCTCAAATAAGTGAAACAAAATCCTCCCTTAGGGGCATTTGTGAACTCTGATCTGGATCTGAAGTCTGCAGTTTTGGTCCCATCCCCTATTATTTATGTTACTATGCAGGTGAAGCCAAATCATGAGCTAAGGCATTTGTTTGTTTGCAGTTCACCTTTCAAATTTAAGCTGCTTATCATTTTCTTATCTTGCATATCAAAAGAAGCACCTTACCGTTGTTTGTTTCTATTCTACTAGTGAGGCTTATTGTTGAGAATGTGGCCTCTAGTTAGGTTGTATGTTCAGGGTTCCCCAACATTCAGTGAATGCTTTGCAAAAGAGGAAGTGGTGGGGAATGTGTGATTCTCCAATTGGTGTTGAACTATAGTCCCCATTGCCCCTCAGCCCAGGGCTGATGGATGTAGCAGTCCCATCATACCTGGGTAGGGCACCTATTTTTTAGTAAAGCTTAATACCGGTACATATTTCAGGGGCAACTGCCCAATCTTAAGGGAAAGAAAAATGATAGGAGTCACAAACAAAGGCGCATTTACTCTAAGTTCAAGGTGATTTTTCAGAGAGTAGCAACACATTGACTCCAAGCACAATTTTTAATATTCCATCCTTGTTGAGGTTAGAAAGGGAAGAGATAGTTTGTTTCTAGCACTCTAGAAAGATGGTAAATTCAAGTAGCCAGGCTGTAGGATGATGCCTGGTTCTCCCCAAAGGACAAGTCCACTTTCACAACTGACATACTTCTTCCTGTTTTCCTCTCCAGTTTCTAGAGTCCTTTCCTGCTTCTCCTGCAGAATGATGTTTACCAAATGTATTGTGGCATTAGTGTTCTTGGGCTAGAGCCCACTTTGTCACATGTATCTACCCAAGTGGGCAGCAGCCCAAAGAAAGCATATGCCACCAAGAATCTGTTAGTCTTGAAAGTGTCACAAGACTTTTCTCTTCCCATCTACAACAAAGCCCATCGCCTAGTCTTTTATATGATTCTCTATTACTCACAGAGCTTGGGAAAGTTACTTCTTCAAACTCTAATCTCAGAATCCCCCAGCCAAGAATGGCATTTCTGGGAATTGCATTCTGGGGAGTTTTACATTCCCAAATTCTGGAGCCAAAGGATGAGGACCTCTTTTAAGCACAAAACCCCAAAGAGCCTTTTATGGCTGGCTGACCTCACTCAGGGTCCTGCGCAGTAGGATCCTCAAATAGTTTTGACAAAGCACATGTACTTTAAGTCCTCATATCCCTTTCCACCCAAACTGTAAGATCTCTCACCCCTGCAATGCTTTGCATACTTCTCCG